AATCTAATCTAGGTCTACCTCTACCCCTCCTAACTCCTGTTTCAGCTTGTAGTATGTCTCTGACTAGACCTTCATGCTTGAGAAGGTGTCCTACCAACCTATCTCACCTATTTCATATTGACTTCCATAGAGTCCTCTGTTCTCCTATTCTTTCTAATACCTCTTCATTTCTAACCTTCTCTGTCCACAGTATCCTCATAATTCGCCTATAACACCACATTTCGAACGCTTCTAACCTTTTCTTTTCCGCCGCGCCCACCGTCCACGTTTGGCACCCGTACAACCCCAAACATACACCTTTAACGATCTTTTTCGAATTTCTAACTTAACTGTTCGCAAACATAGAAGTGACTTCTTTTTATTGAAGGCGACTCGACCTTACGCTATCCTCTGCTTTGTATCCCTATTACTCTTTTCGTCCTGACTTATCTAACTTCCTAGATACCTTACATCAGCCACTTCTAATTTTTCGTCTCCTATCTTTATATTCGCTCTTTCCATAATTTTTCTTCCCTTGTATACCAATATTTTTGTTTTACTTTTGTTTATTTTCATACTATACCGTTTTATCAATACCGCTTCCATTTTATTTAAAGCTATCACTAACTGCTACTCCTTGCTAAATGCTAATGCTGCTATATCATCTGAAAATCTAAGTATACTAATCTTTTTCCCCTGTATATATATATCCCTACAGTTTAACTGTCTTTAATGATGTTGATCGCGTCTTCGATGTATAGATTAAAAAGTAGCGATGACAGTGTGCATCCCTGTCTGACTCCCTTCCTAATATTTACTTCTCTATGTTGCTTTCCCAACTCCATAACTACCTGTTGCTCTTATTTCCTTCATTTCCTGATTAAACAGTGAATATGCGGTTTATGTTTCCTGCCTAGGTGTTTTGAGTTTTGCGAGATTATGAGATGATTCCTGTACGTGTGGTTTTAGATTGTCATTTTTACATAACTTAAAGTATCTTGAGTTTTATATGGAACTTAAAATCTAGAATGGCGCGGCCCATGCGAAAAATAGCTAAATACGTCCCTGTGTGCCATAAAGAAAACATAAAATTGAACTCTTATTATAAATTACCATTAAGCTGAAGAAAAGAAACGGTTAGCACGTAATCAAGACCAAAGTCGAGGATGAAGTTCCAATTTTCATCTCAGACTTTAGGAATTTTTAGCAGTTAAATTATTAGATAAATACGTAATTATTTTTAGAGTTCTCTGCCAAACATAAAAAAAAGTGCTTGTAAATAGAGTAACTTTTCTACTTGTGCCTTTACCTGTCTTATACATATAGAGAATCTGTGGTACCTATTACAACTTCTTCTATTTTCAAACAACTGTACGTGGCTGTACCGTAATAATTTGTAGATCAACTACAACCAAGTTGATAGAGCATGTTGAATAAATAAAATATTAATAAGCAAACAAATCAATTTTCATTATTAACCTTCCCTACCTAATTCTTTCTAAAATCCAAATGAAATCACGCTAACAATGAGCATATTTATACAAGAAAGTGGCATTTTCCGAATATATTGTATTAATAAAGCTATTTCATTTGTCATAATTCTGTTATTCACATATACCAGCGATTATATCTTTTGGGATAATAATATCATCCATTTGCCTAAGTAGGTACATCAAAATGGATTCCAAAATAGCCCTAAAGTTAATATTCGTCTTTCCATAACAATTAAAGACTTTATTTTTTTCGTCAATAGCATTAATATAGAAATAACAAAAATCAACAGTACCTAATTATCAAAATATCTCTGGCCAATTTAACCCAAAGGTTTCTAAATTAATAGAAACGGCGTTCCTAATTTACACATTTCGATAAATAAAAGTAATAGGCCAAATCGTAAGATTAGAAACAGTCTATTAATGCTAGTAAAATGAATCCTACCTTTTCTCGGAGAATTCTGGATAAATTATTCGACACCATCTTCGTTGCCAAGAAGAACAAATGAAAATGAACAATAGTTAGTAAAATTATTGTTTCTTAAAGATTTACGCACGTAACAACTAAATATTCATCTAGAATATTTTATTCAACAACACATTTTAACGCGAAACAACCGAAAAACAAACTAGCAAACAAATGAAAGAGGGACCAATATGAAGACATCAAAAGGTCCTAAATTTCCCGGGTACAATAAAATTCGTCCATTAGCAGCGGACTGATACTAAAAATTCACAGAAAGCGAAGAAGTATTCTATACAAACCTTAAAGTAGGTGTATTAATCGTTAATTACTTAAAATAAGAAACCTTTTAAATATATTTTTAATATAACGCAGTATTCGATAATACGATAACGTGGCTAAATTTGTATGTACCATAGGAATAAATCATATAACCACATTTTAGTTATACAACTCGCAATGCACTAGCGTATAGGAAGCAATAAAATATTCTATCTCTGAAGTTTTGAATTTTATTATTTAATTCTTAGCTTTTTAAGTACCAAACAAACAATAAATTAATAATAAAAGATTTTACAAACCATCTAAATTTAAAACAACTGTAATTTGAAATAAATATTTAAATACAGCTTAAAAAAAGTATTTTGTGCGGTTTATGGAGAAAAAGGGAGGATAAAAATGTCTAAATATAAGTTAATAATTACTTCAGCTTGTTAATTAAAGCAACTGAAATGAAAAACTGCCGATATTAGCTTTTAACGTAAAAAATACAGTTGATTAATAAAACAATGGTTTAAAAGGTTTTTTCTGTTTATACCGCATTCAAAGCATAGTAAATAATAAAAATTAAAAATTATTTATGTTTTTTGTTTACATACAACGCCTAATGGTTTATTTAAGCAAGTTTGTGAATAAAACATAGTTTATAAACAGACTTCACGTAGGCTACATCAATATGCACGTGCTTTTTCGGTTGCCTATCTAAAATGTTTATAAGCAATTGAATTCAAAATTTGAATCGCGAAACAATAAATTAATAACAGAAAATTAAAATTCATACTTTTCCCAAAAGAGAACAGTATATTTATTTATTAATTAATTGTCATCATTGCCAAGTAATTAGTAAAAAGTGCAACAAAAAAGTTTTTCACTTATCTTTAATTTTTAAAAAGTTATAAGTATGTATATGAAAATGCATATGCATATAACATTTTGATTAGATACATGGGGTAAATAAATAATAAATACATTCATTTAACTAGACTTTTATTGATGTGTGATCTGTAATCACTATGTTACAATACCGCTATTAGAATTATAATATTCCTATTAGATTAACATCAAAATATGTAATAAACTCGATTAAAATGGAGCCTAATAATATTCAAATATTTGGTAATATTTATTGTTTAAGTGCACAATTCTACTTTAAATTTTAAACGTTTTATGTATATACACAATTCGAGAATTTTCAAAAGGAAAAGGTACAAAACAAAATTTAAAATAGAAGTGTGCGAATCACCTTGATCTCTTGAAGAGGCAGTAACAACACACGTTTGATGATCACCTGGAAGTCACGTCAGTCCTTGCGGAAGCCTTGTAAACTGCTATGGCTCACCTGTTTTGTTGCCAACTGTAAAGACCCAAGTGTGATAAAAATTTGGACTTCCTCTCATTTACTATGCAGTTTATGGTTCAAGCCCAAATTACATGGAAATGTTATCGCGACATGTTTTCACCATCATCCCTTCCTACATTATACTTTTTTGGCACAAAAGTAAAATAAAATAGGTACAATTTTTAACAATCATCCACCAATTAAAAAAAAAAAGGGAACTGTGTGAAAGCGAATTTTCTGTTTTCCTATTACATTACATCATATCGTAAAACAAGAAAATTACAAACGTGGCAAATAAATTAAACTAAAAGAGACTCACCCCAACTACCGCAAGTAATTTACATTAGTAAATGGTATTAAAAAAATAGAGAAAAGAGATCTTGTATCAATAATAAGTATATAAATAATCGATAAAAAGTGTAATCTGCAATCTAAAATCTTTGCTTATTATAAAACATAATATAAAATATAAAAAAAACAATTATGCTTGTATTTGGTATCTACAGGGTGTTTCATAAAATACTAACTCAATTTACTTTTAGTAAAATAAAATTAGAAAAAAAGTGGCTTAGCCTGAAGAATATCAGAGTAATCAAAATCCAATATTTTTTTTAGTTACCCATGTACAAGAAAGTAAAATGTTATTCAGTGAAACACCCTGTATAGTCGTTGAAAATAAAAACAAAAAAAAAAAAATAATCCAAGGAAGGATGAAAACATGTCGCTAGAAATAAAAATAAATACCTCGCAGTATAAGATGGGTTTGCGACAGCTTTTTGAAACAAGAAGAAGATTGAGAGAAACAGATGCCTTAATCCTATAAATACCTCGAAAAATCATCGGCTACACGATTAAAAGAGCGCATGTGTGTCGGGCCATGCTCGACCTTCCCTTTTGTTATCTCTGCTGAAAACGGCAACTTGCAAAAACGTTGTGAGAATGACAGAGAAAATAAAACTAATCGTAAGTTGCGAAAAAAAGTTTTGCGTAATTTGTATGTATTGTTTATGTGTGTCTGTGCGTGTCTATGTGTAGTTGTGTCTGTGTTAAGCGTTTATTCGATCGGCGGAATTCATTTTACCCGAAGGCATGTACTTTAAAAATAAAATTAGCATTAGGTATCATCACCAGTGCAATATCATTATTGCATATAACATAAGGCATTTGTCGACCCTAAGAGTCTTTGTTATTAGCTCAAGAACTGAGTAACCACCCTTAACTATTTATTGATTTACAGTATTCTGTTCATTTAATATAATTTTTGCTTTAGAGCTAATGATAAAAACTATTAGAGTCGATTTCAGAGTAAGCGCCAGTTTTAGTAGTTCACAGTACCATTTTGACTAATAAAGTTTTATGTAAGTATTTATCATTTGCGAGATAACTCGTTAAAATTATTTAACAAATTGTGTGTTTAAATAAAACAAATAAATATATACAATATACTTTTGAGTAAAAAGCTATACATGATATGGATAAAACGAGAATTTATAATCTGCTTTGATGAATTTTTTCCGATACCTGTTTCTCAAAAACTTTAATTATACGAAAACCCCTCACGTCATTCCTTCATTCATTCACAGTGAAAATAAATTATTTATATTAAATTTCGTATTATACTTTCAAAAGATCTAAAAATCTCCGTCATAACGAGAACGCCATTTATTACCCAAAATTAGATTCAAAATCTATAACACGTTGAGGCACCCAATAAATTGAAGGCATTTAAGGAATTAATTTTAAATAATTCGAATAATTAAAACACTCATTTAACAACTATGAGGTAGATAAATCACTAACCTGATTTGCCTGAAAGAGAACGTTTACACTAGAATGGCACCTACCTGAACCTGGCAGCCTTACTGGTCAATTACGCGGTGAATTTATCGACGATGATGAGAGTGCGAGTGACGAGAACTCCGATGACCTGAAACCAATTAACAAAATAAAGTTATAAACCCAGAAATTCTTTGTTCCATATAATAACTGTAATAAATTTTATCAACTTTAAGTTAAATACTTTTACATGTTTTAAAAATTAAATCTGCAGCATGATAATCGTTGTGTAAGTACCATTTTTAACACCCATTTAGGCACCTTTTCAAAATGACAATTAAAATACAAACTAAATGTAGACAAGCAACAACTGTGCTAATTCCCGCTATAAAGGTCCCCTCCTTTTACCGACTTTTGATACAGAAATTTAATAGTCGTACCTGATTCCCGATGACCATCTCTATCTCGATGTCTTCTCTCCCGTTCCCTCTCTCTTTCACGATCTTTTCTATCCCTTTCCCGATCCCTCCGCTCCTCACGATCTCTTCTCTCCTTATCTCTCCTGTCTCTACCTTCACTATTTCGTTCCTTTTCTTTACTCAATCTGTTGGTTAAAGAATCATCAATATTAATTAAAAAATGTAGCAACAATAATTAAATAAGTAATTACTTATGTTCAGATCTATCTCTTTCTCTCTCATAGCTACCACCACGTCGGTGTTTGTCTCTCTCGCTGCTATCCCTGTCTTTACGCCGTTCCCTCTTATCCTCTTTATTTCGCCGTTCATCTTTCGCTGCCTGTACAATAGTCGTAATCTCCTCAATAGCTGCTCTCAACTTTGAATAGCTAAGAAATTATTTTTGATTTAAATTTTTCTGTAAAAGAGATTAAGTATATAATAAACACTTACCCAACATGCTGTTTACCCATTAAATGATCGTCTATTCGCTGCTGAGCATCACCAACTATAAGAAATGCCCCACAAACCTGACAAACCTCCATTTGTTTTTCTTGAACAGCTGCAAGTTCGGCTGTTAGACTCCATTGGCTAATGTAAAAAAATGTGTCTTAATTACATACTATGCATAATATAATCTAATACAAACCTATTTTCATTTTGGGTTTTCAAAGTTTCTCGTTCATCTTTGAGCTGATCACACAATTTCATCAAACCTTGAGCCTGCTCAACATTACCATCTATCCCAGCTTGCTCTGCCTCCTTTTCAAGTCCATTGATTCTCTCATTTAAAATATTAATCTGTTCTTGATTTCTTTGGGTTTGAGCAGGACTTAATGAAGGGCCGTCGACTTTTTGATTTAGGGCAAGCCTCTGTTTGCCTTTAACTATTTTACGTTCAACTTCACTCATCATTGCATTGCAAAATCGTAAAAATTCTTCTTGATATTGTAATTTTCTATGACCCTTAGCTTCTTCGAATAATTTCTTGACTTCGTCATCGTGCACTTTGGGGCACGCTCCCAAATCTGCCTTCGTATTAACAAAAAGATCATGGGGGCAAAACTTAACCATATAATATTTGCAATACTGAAAAATCAGTTACGAAATTATGTAGATTATATACAATTAACTAGATTTGATAATTACTTCAGAATCTTCCCAATTTAGCTCTTTAACTTTCTCATTTGGTAAGACGTTTCTATTCCTTCCCATTAATTCGTCCAACAACGCAGCAGCTGCTAAGACGGCCATACTTCTTGGTATTTTATATTTTCAGAATTACATTTACAATTACAATTAAGAAAACCTAATTTACTTTAGAAGAAGAACTTAAAATGAAATTACGATTCCCAACAATTCTGGCCGGTTTTGACAGTTTTTAACAGCTCGAGCAGCTCTGACATAAAAGACTTGTTCATAAATTCTACCATACTACTGATGTTGTGCTGATCATTATTTGATCAGATATTCAATAGGGTTACATATTGAATAAATGAAGAAAATGCCAAACTAATATAATTTATTAACTACAGAATAATTAATTTGTCTCAATAAATCAGTTTTCCATAATCCCTATGCACTGGAAGAAATATTATAATTTATTTACCGTGGGTCAATTAGAAGTCAACAAAAAACAGATAATGTCAATTTTTCCATTGTGATTAGTAAATATCCTTTTATATTTTTATTTACATACTTGTATTTTGAGTTTGTTGTCAAAAATACTCAAAAACAGTCAATGTACCAGTTACAATCACTTTAGAAATTTTGAATTACTGTTCTCTATTTTAATTCATTGCCATTGTTCATCAATTCAGTCAATGCAAAATAAAAAATTATTTTGATAAGGAGTATCTTAAAAGAAGTAATTAATGTATTTGTTTACCAGTGTAGTGTGAACTTTAGGGTGTACATCATTGTAAAATAAAGAAGTTGCGTATATGTGGTGCTTCATTGATGAATCATAGACTTTGTACAGTCAAACTGATTTACTTTGTGATTTACATTAAATAGGTACTACTCAAGCTTCTAAAATGTTCAATAATCGTGAAGAAGCTTCCATTAACAGTATTCAAACGTGTGACAGTGAAAATGAATGTAATGAAGTGGAAGATGAAGATGATCTTACAAAAATTATACCACCAGAAGGTATACTGATAGTAGAGCTAATATGTCGATGATAAAATACCTGTTGCTTGTTTTAGTGGAAGATACAAAACTATGGCCCAAAACTAGATACATACTAGGAGTTTTAGGATTTCTTGGCTTTGCAAATGTCTATGCTATGCGTGTAAACCTATCTGTAGCAATTGTATCAATGATTAACCACACTGCTTTTCCCCAACCTTCAACCAACAGTAACATCTACGATCATTGTCCTGCAAATACTCCTACAAATAATACAAAGCCATCGGTTAGTTATCACAATAATATTAGTTGATTATCCATTATTGTATTTGTTTTAGCAAAACGGTGAATTTGATTGGGATGAGAGCACCCAGGGAATTGTTTTAGGTTCATTTTTCTATGGATATGTTCTCACTCAAATTCCAGGGGGTAGGTTTGCTGAATTATTTGGTGGAAAACTGGTTTATGGTATAGGAGTTCTGTTAACTGGTATTTTTACTATTTTAAGCCCCATTGCTGCCAGAACAAATTTTACCCTCTTTATTATTGTTAGGGTTTTGGAAGGCATGGGCGAAGTAAGTTCTTTCTTTATAGCATTGTATATTATATGTTATTCCAATAATTTTTCTTTTTATTAATCCTCAGGGTGTTACATTTCCTGCAATGCATGCTATGCTTGCCAGGTGGATTCCACCACTTGAAAGGAGTAAATTTGCTGCTTATGTATATGCAGGTAACTTCCATGTTCATTCATTTTTTCTCTGAAGAAGTTTGAATATTATTTAGCATTAATATGATTAAATATTTTTTTAGGTACTAATTTTGGAACAGTAATCTCTCTGCCACTATCAGGCTGGCTGTGTTCACTTGAATTTATGGGTGGGTGGCCTTTATCATTTTACTTATTTGGGGTACTAGGTGTTATTTGGTTTATTTTTTGGGTATTCCTTGTATATGATACCCCTTCATCTCATCCAAGGATAGATCGACAGGAGCAGGCATATATTTTAGCTAGTATTGGTCCACAAGTGAGTAAACCTAAAATGCCCTTACCTCCTTTCTCATGTAAGAGATGAATTTGTAAAAATCCATTTAAGGATGAAGAAAAAGGACCTATTCCTTGGTGGAACATGTTGACCTGTGTACCTTTATGGGCCATCTTGATAACCCAGTGCGGTCAGAACTGGGCCTTTTACACTCTACTTACTGAATTACCGACTTATATGGATCAAATTTTGCATTTTGATATTGAATCTGTATGTATTGTTTATCCTTATATTTACAAAAACTCTTGTTAATTTTTTTTATTAATTTTCAGAACGCCATTCTCTCTTCTCTACAATACTTGACCAGCTGGTGGTTTGGTGTTGCATGCAGTATATTTGCCGATTGGCTTCTTGGCAAAGGGTACTTGTCACAATCAACTTCATATAAACTGTGGAATTCCGTTGGTAAATGAAATTTTTCTCATACTCTCTTCCCTCCTATTTTGTTTTATTATCAATTGTTTCCTCATTTCTCAATGCTTTTTTCCACAGCCTCTATAATCCCATCAGTGGGATTGTTAATTGTAGCCTGGTTGGGTTGCGACCGAATTTCGGTACAATGGGTGTTAGCTATTAGCGGTGCTTTCGGCGGTGCTGTTTATGCCGGTAATCAAATGAACCACATCGCACTAAGTCCAAAATACGCCGGTACAATGTACGGCATCACTAACGCTGCCGCCAACACGTGTGGATTCCTCGCACCCTTTGTGGTGGGACGGATAATTAACGGAAGAGTAAGTATCTAATCGCCCTTAAAATAAAACTAAATCAGAAACTATGAAACTTTAAAAAGTATGCGGAACTCCAATTTTCATTTATTTAAAAATAAAAACTTTAGGAAACGTTGGGCCAATGGCGAATGGTGTTCTATTTGGCCGCGGGTATAAATATGGGGGCCAACCTGTTCTATGTAGCGTTTGGAAGTGCTCGAGAGCAGCCCTGGTCCCGTTCGCAAAGACTCAGCAGTGCCAACTGACAAGCGCTGTATCTGGCAATGTTGGTAGACACTTAGTCAAAATCAGAACGGTAGGCGTGGTATGTGATAACTGTATGTGATCGGATGATTAAAAAAATATTTTAAATACGAATTCCGTACCGTTTTTTTTATAAATGGTGCCCAATAATTAGGAAAATCTATTCTATTATTGTTGTTAAATACGAAGTCGCTGTATAGGATTTACGAGGACGCTGAAAAGGCATTTAATTAATTAACATTAAAATAATAACGAATAAACCAAATCTAGCAATGTTCGATTTATATATATTCCAAATTTGTAATGAGTTTTGGGCGTCTTTTATTTTTGCCTGTAAAGATTAAAAAATGAAATCTGGGAAGGTTCCTTTTATATAATCTTTTAGTGTTTTTGTTTCTTTTCTCAAACTGTTATTGGCGAATATCCAACAAAACCAGTGAATAGCAATTTATACTTTTTCTATTACATCGCTAGAATTAATTGTTTCATTTTTTAGTCAATTTATAATTCGCTTTCGTATGTATTTCAGTGTCTTCGAAACTTTACCTCTTTTTAATATATTTAATATTAATTTACCGATNAATCTATCTCTAATATTTATAAATGAGTTTGTATATTTATACTTGTTAATTGCTCTTCATAAAAGAGTTTTTTTTTTATTATAAATTAGTAAAATTTTATGAGGCCTCTCGATCTTGATGTGCAGTGTGATATAGATAATTGTTAAAATGTTTACATAAATTTTTAATTCAAAACACGATTCTTCACTGTATAAAAATGCAGTATTATCTTCGTAAGGTAAGAAATGCAGAACATACGTACAAGGAGATTCATTTATGACATTAGTACATAGTTTAACTGTTTTCCTAAGTGAGTTGGGTTAAAACTAATAACTTGTTGTATAATAAAAACACTGGATGTAAATCAGACAACAAAAATGGGAACGAAAAATTAATTGAATATCGAAAAATTTATAAACATTGTACTATGGTACTGTTGGATCACCTTGTATTTGTTATTTTTTTAAGATAAACCGGGTGTTAGTTTTTAATACATGATACAATTTTATTTGTGTTGATACAAATATTTTTTCTTTTCTTTTACACATTGAATCTTTCTATTTAAAATCTCAGCTGGACTCGAGTATTTAGAGCAACGCCCACCAGGAGGTGTGGTAACTTCATAGATAGCTCATGAGTACAGGATGACAAAAAAGTTTGTCTTGGCGAAATCCTAATCACATTTAAATCCTCCCATACATTTGCTGTGGTAAAAAGAGTAACACATTTTTGCTCAACACTTTTGAACCGATGCAACCTTTACCATTCTGTTACTCTACCCGTGGGCTTTCCAGTGCAAGTCAGTCATCTTGGTGGGTGCTACCCCAAATACTAAAGTCCTGCCAAAATCTCTTCTAATCTGTAAATCAGTTCCTAAGTAAGCCCATACTTACTACATTAATGATTATTTTGCAGTGTGGCCCATAAATTTTTAGTTATAAGTAAAACTTTAGTAATGGTAACAATAAGTTATCTGGGTATATTTATAATAAAATACACCTACGGGAAATTAATTGTTGCAGTAATGAATGCAAGTAGATAGTCCAGTACTATTAAAAATTACTTATACGTTTAAATACTCCTTTGATGNCCGCGGGTATAAATATGGGGGCCAACCTGTTCTATGTAGCGTTTGGAAGTGCTCGAGAGCAGCCTTGGTCCCGTTCGCAAAGACTCAGCAGTGCCAACTGACAAGCGCTGTATCTGGCAATGTTGGTAGACACTTAGTCAAAAGCAGAACGGTAGGCGTGGTATGTGATAACTGTATGTGATCGGATGATTAAAAAAATATTTTAAATACGAATTCCGTACCGTTTTTTTTATAAATGGTGCCCAATAATTAGGAAAATCTATTCTATTATTGTTGTTAAATACGAAGTCGCTGTATAGGATTTACGAGGGCGCTGAAAAGGCATTTAATTAATTAACATTAAAATAATAACGAATAAACCAAATCTAGCAATGTTCGATTTATATATATTCCAAATTTGTAATGAGTTTTTGTGTCTTTTATTTTTGCCTATAAAGATTAAAAAATGAAATCTGGGAAGGTTCCTTTTATATAATCTTTTAGTGTTTTTGTTTCTTTTCTCAAACTGTTATTGGCGAATATCCAACAAAACCAGTGAATAGCAATTTATACTTTTTCTATTACATCGCTAGAATTAATTGTTTCATTTTTTAGTCAATTTATAATTCGCTTTCGTATGTATTTCAGTGTCCTCGAAACTTTACCTCTTTTTAATATATTTAATATTAATTTACCGATGGCATTTCAGTTTTACTTGATAATGATAACATTTTATTTTAATTCCTTTTAGGACTTAATGAAG